GAGCAAGTTGAAATAAAAGCAACCCTAAGTTAGGCACGAATAAGCAGAGACACAACAGTGGGTCTGCAGAATCTGGTGGTTGGTGGTGGCAGCATCCACACTACTGCCGGCCTCAGACTAACTGCATTGCTTCCCACCCAGCCAACCTTCATACCAGAAAACCATTTATGGATGAGCAGGCAGAAGTCCATGTGTAGCAATAAACAGTTAGAAAATATAACTGAAATAACATCCTACTCTCAATAGCTATAAACACTGTCTATACATTCTTAGGAATAGAAGTAACGAGAAATGAGCAAGGCTTTTGTAAGGACCATGTGTCTTTACCAAATGACCTGAAAGAAAACACAAATAAAAGGTGAAGGTGCAACATTTCTGGATGGGAAGACAATTTGTAGTGATGTCCGTTTTTAAATTACTTTTTAAATGTAAAATAATTTTTAACAAAATTCCACCATGATCCTTTATGAGAGTTTATGAATTTATTTTAGAAAGTAAAACATCATGGTCTTGACAAAAGAAAAGGTAGTATATCATCAGAATAATATGTCATTTATACGAGTCAGCTTGCATTCATACTATTATTTAAACATGATAATTTTCATTTTAATCAGTTAGAAAATGATGGACTATTCAATAAATGATATTGGGTCAATTTGTTACCTATTTGAAAAAATAGTTTTCTTAAAAATAAGAATATATGCAGATTAAACAAAGATATGACTTATGAATACTTGAAAATATTTGGGATAATGACCCTCCTAAGTAAAACACAAACCAGGAAGTTATTAAATAAAAGGCTGATTTATTTGATTACATAAAAGTTAAAATCTTGAATATGAAAAAACACTAGAAGTAGTTTTTAAAAATTGGTAAGGCTTCCATTTCAAGATAGCAAATTGATCACGTCATGACCTCCACTTTTGACCAACAACTTAGGAATTACTGAAAGTAAAGTAAAAGTGACTCCATAATTACATGCAAAACAATAAGAAGAATCCACTTTTGGTCAGAAACTGAGGAATCCCTGGAAATAGAAAACAAGCTACAGATGGCAAAAGCCATAAAGACTACCATATTAATATTTATTAATCACTGAAGTTTTTCAATTATGATAGCTAAAGATTAAAGTTTATAATTAAATATATTTGTTTTCTGAAAGTGCGTTCTTAGGACATTTTGTACTGAGCCCAGAATTCTATTCTTCATTTATATCCCAGATGAACTCCAAGGGAAAATCTTTCGTCTTAATTTGGAAAATCTTTTCAAACCTTTCATTCTGCTCCACAGTCATGTGATTTTTCCAGTCTCCAATTGTACCTGGGAGGAAAAACAAAGAAATTGCTTCAGTGAAGTTTGGGGGACTGCAATATGCAGGGAACAGTAACTTAGTGTTGGGAGAAACATTATTTTTCCCACTTTTATTTTTCTCCCCATTAGGTTCCCAGTTACTCCTCCACATGACTATGACTTTTCACTCTCCCACTTTATGGAAAGCAGGTAAACAAACTTATCATTGCAATTAGAGTATAATTAGATATAATTATCCCACCTTCTCAGCTGACACTTGAGAAAATTGAAAATTACCACGACTTGATCACTGTTTTGTTCAATGTTAACATTGATTATTGTATTATACAGAAGTGTCTTTAAATTCCCCAAGATCAGATATCATTGACATAATATTACTGATGAGGACATGACGCAAGATCAGATATCATTGAGCTATTATTTACTTAAGAGGACGTGGATGCTCAGAGAGATTTTTGAAAAATAGCCCAAGGTCATGCAGTTCATAATGGAAGAGGTGAAATTACTCCATCTTTATCCAATTTGGGAATGAGACTACCTTAAACTAAACTTACAGACACAGACTTATGATGACAACAACTGAGAGAAGATGCAAGAAAAGAAACACTGATTTTTAAAAAACACTAAACTGAAAATAAACAACTGAAATGAAGTAAAATACTGAACAAACTGAAAACACAAACAAAAACTTGGTGCAGGAGTGCTGAAGCCAATGCAAGTGAGGTTCAGGTAGGGACATCAAAGAGAGAAGTGTTTGTGTGTCTGCAGAGTAGACAGATGGGAATATGCTTCATCTCCACAAAGAAATTTTGCTGACTCCTATTTTGCTAATTAGCCATTCCAGTGTCTCATTTTTAGGTTTGTTAAAGACATGGGAACAGAGAAAATTTTCTTTTTTCAAAGAAAAACAAGTGCAAGTGCAACAATACTGGCAGTTGACGTGACCGTAGCACCTAAAACACAATAAGGTGAGCTGAGGCTACTGGGAAAGGGTATGTACCCCCTCAGGTTGGTTCAGTGTTACTACTGCTTCTTATTTTTCAAAAAAGGCAGAAAATTTTATCTAAGAGATGAAGGGAAAGAAATACTAACTTAGAGAAATACAAAGCCAGTATTTATTGCCGTTTGACATAGAGGCATATAACCCTATAATTAAGTGCAAAATACTTGTCTGTAGTTTTGTAATACATATTTTACATGTACTAAATTAAAAAATCATAAAATATAATTAAGAAAGATAGTATAAAGTAATAAAAATATTTTAATATTCAAATTTATCAATCGTATGGAGAATTCATACATTCTAAAATCTCACTCGCCAGAGGCCAGATAAATGAGATATTACTAAAAAATTTATGATGTGAGAGTCTAGTTTAATAAAAGATGTGTTATATTCCCTCCCAATAACCAAAGAAGGGAAAATTTGTGCTGTCAATTCTCCACTGGGGGAGATTCAGGATAAATCACAGAGATGTAAGATGGGCCAGTGACATCCAACAGACCCATCATTACCTCATCATCTTGCTGTGTCCATGTTAATGAGGAGAAAGAATCTAACACTGAATAAACATTTATTTTGTGGCAGGCACTGTGCTAGGCATTGGAAGATTCTCATGGGGTCATATAAAGACCTTGTGATTTTAGGTTACTAATCAGATATCTTCAGGGTCCCAGTAATGTAGTCTCATGAAGAGCACCAAGGAGAAATCATAGAAAACCAACTCTCTAGAGAAGGGAAAAGGGCCATGAAGGCTCCATTTTTGGTTACTCTGGCAAGAAGTCCAGAGGCTACACTTTGGTCCATTTGCACCACAGTCCAAGATAACCATTTACCGTTGAACTTCACCTTTGCAAAGGAAAAGGGCCTTCTTTTTCTTTTGCCCTCAGGTTGGCTGTTTAGTATATTTTCATAATTTGCTAGTGGGTCATACTTCATGTTCTGAAATGTGGCCTGTCTCACAACAGCATCCAGGACCTCCTCATTCAGTTCTTTCCCCAGAAATTTGCAGACTTTCAACACAGAATTTCTGAGATCCTGAAATAGAGTATAAAAAGTATGCAAATTATGAGAAAGAACTTATACAAATGTCACGGGTATATATCATTATGAGAGTGAAAAACGTGGGTGCTTAGGCTGGTTGTAAATTTGGAGTTGGACAATGAGAAATGACTTTCTTATTCCTTCTTAATAAATTAATCTTTCATTTGTCTGCTGTTTTAGTGTTGTCTGGGTTCATTTTAGGAGCATTCATATTTCATTTTATCTGCATTAACTCAGCAAATATTTTGGGAGTAGCTACTAAATATCAGACATTGCCCTGGGTGATGGTGCAACAGAAAAGAGGGGTGACAATGGAATCAGTATTGGGAGCTGAGTAAGGACCTATGGGGAGAGAGTAATTGTGTAACAGAATTCACAGAAAGTTTCAAGAAAGAAGAAAAATTTGTTCTTGTCTCTTAGGAAAAACAGGAATTTTCCAGATAGACAAAGCTGGAGATATATAGTCTAGAAAAAAGAAGCAATATATGCAATACTATAGTTGCATGGAATGTGTGAGATATCATGTCACTGAAAAGTTAGAAAGTGATTATCCCTGGAGCTTGATGGGAACAGGCCTGGGATGAGAAAACTAGGAGACGTGGCTGGAGGTACTGGATGGGGCCATATTGTGAGGAGCGTTGCAAATCAGCCAGATACTTGAACTTTTCTTTGGTAGGTGATGTGGACTCAACAGGAGAGTCTAGGCTTAGTGCCCAGCCTATTCCAGGAATGATTCTGATTGATCAACAATCCTTGTGGTACAAGATGCAATTTTGGCATTGAAACAGAAAGAGGAAGTCAAATAGAAGCTTCTAAGATTGATTTTCCTCCTGGAGAAAAGGGGGCAACAGAGCAAGGAAAAAAGCTCTTTTTGTCCCAGTTTCCTCTCTTTCTGCTTTAGATGGTATCACATGAGGACATGAATTTGGAGTGGTGACAACCATTTTGCAACTATGAGGGGCTGCATCATTGCCACACCAAATATGATGAAAAGGAAAGATAAAAAATGCTTGGGACATTCACGACATCCTTGAGTTGCCAGCCTCAGAATAGCCTACCTCTGGATTTCCGTCAATAAACAACAGATGTTCTTATGTTTTAAGCCACTTATAGTTGACTGTTGCTGGGAGCTGGATTCTTCCTGATGATATACAGATATTTTCATTTAATTTATCATGCAATGCTTTACTGAACACAATGCAGACAAGATTAAAGTTCACAAGAAATACATCACAGTATGATGAACATAAAAGCTAGAATATTAGAAGGATGAATAATTCAGAAAATAGAATTAATAATCCATGAGAGACCAATAGCCTAGTTCAAAAGAATCAAACATATGCAGGCCCACTTATACACACAGAAAATCTCTCATACACATACGATTTTTTCTTAAGAAATTTTATGTCATTAATTCTAAATAAAAACATGATACACAAAATACAGAAGTGATACAGGAAATAAGTCTCATGCTACACTTAATCTTGTATCTCAAATTTGATATTGTTCTTTCGGTTCTGGACACAAAAATTTCAATAGGCCAGGCTGGGTTACAGGTTAGGTTAAATCACAAATGTAATCTCATCTCACCTTCTTCATGTCCTCATCCATCATGAAGTGAATATGGAAGTGGCTTCTGTGCTCATACCAACTTTTGATATGGTCAAACCAAAGACTTCCTGTCACTGTGGAAAGAACAGATAAGTAATTGGGTAAATATATGGAACACATTGAAATATAAGCTATAGTCTTCTTATGGGATACAGGAATCTTTAGTAAGAAAAGAAGGAAAAGGAAGTCAGTTTCTAGATTCAAGATGTTCCCCATCACAGGGTTCTGGGAGAATCCACCAGGAAACAATTGTATGAATTCAAGGAGAAATCCGTCTCTTACTAGTGTATTTTGTATAAACAGAAAAGCAGCTTAAAGTAGGGTTAGAAAGAACCAAAAATGAACAATCAGAGGAAAAAATCCTCTCCTTCTGGCTCCTACCATTATCCCCAAAACACACATAAAGTTATTTCCTCACTCCATGGGACCGCTGTAGGCTCCCTGATGAGTCACTTCAGCTCTGCACAGTGGATTAGAGCCTAAGCAGGGTTCTCCCATGTGAGATCATCATCTATCTCAGCAGGCCTTTCTCCTCCTCAACCAGCTACATTGGCTTCTCAGAAAAGAACGTGGAAGAGAATTTTATCAAATAGGAGCTTATGGGAGGTGCCACATGTGATATGCCGGACCAAAGCACCAAATGTATTGTAATCTAAACTGAGGTCCCTTCTCAGCCATACTACAACAGAAACATCTGGGCTAGTGAAACACTAATCTGTTCCCACTCCTTTCATGGTTATATCTAAATCTTCCCTGGTAATAGGAATTTGTAATCTAAACATATCTTGAGAGTGGGTGCAAGTGAGCAGAATTTGTATGAATGGCAGGACCTGGTCATCCAAGACAATCCTACCAACTGACTTGATATACTGACCACTGACCCCCATTCGCCTCTATTTCATGATCCTCTTTTCCCTCTGCCAAATTCACTAAGCTTAAAACTCATCATGGACAGCAAACTTATTGCTTGGTTTATAAGTTCAGTTACCTTTTCCTTCTAGAAATAGTTCCATGAATTCCTCAATTGTAGTTGTAGCTTCATTTTCTGCCCACTTGTGTGAAAAATGAAAATATAAGCACATAACATCCTTAGGGTTTCTGTATATGTAAATGACCTGCAAGGAAAGAAAGGAATCATTGTTTCTGAGGCTTTCATTCTGTCATATTTTTACCCGAATAGATTTCAATTGGGTGAGGCCTGTTATTTTGAGCTTTCACAATTTCCTAACCATGTCATGTCCATGCTCAGCCTTCTCCTTTGAATTTCAGGTTTTCCCCTTTTCTGCAATGCCTCTCTCTTCTTGTTCGGTCTAGTGAATATCAAGCACTCTTCAAGATACAGCTCAGAAGTTACCTCTTCTTAACTCCCCCAGGCAGAGAGAACAACTTTATTCTCTTGCCCCTACACAAACTAGCAACACGTGAAAATGCTTCATAAACTATAAAATTATATGAGAATGAGAATAACTTACTAAAACATTTTCAAATCATATTATAAAATTTAGAATGTATTTCTCTCATCCTTCAATGTACATTTTACATATTCCTTATCTTTATATCCTCACGGAGTAAAGCACAGCTGCTTTGGCACACAGAAGTTACTTCTTAAACAGTTTCTACATTGAAGGAAGAGAGGATTCATTTTAAAAATTGCTTATTGTAACCAACCAGAAGAAATAGTTTCATAGTAACAATGAAGCAACCCAATCATACTGGAATACAAAATAGCATCAATATCTGTTCCAACCCACGTCTAAGTGGCTCATTCAGTGTCTGTACAGAACATTCAGGGGCTCTGAATAAAACCCAAGTCCTGCATCTTCATTGTGAAATGACGTGTCTATCTTTTGTTGCTTCTCTTGTGAAACATCCAAGTTAGGTACAGGGAAGCTTTCATCCACATAACACCTCCCTGCACACTGCCTGGAGCCAACCTTTAATGCTGGAAGGTGAGTTGATGGATGCTGGGTGTATCTGAGGCTCGCCTCATCCCTGAGTGCCCCCCACTTCACTGGAAAGAGAGTCCTTCAGCCATGGGACTCAGTTGATAGCAACAAAGCAGGGGACAGTATCAAACAAATTATCCACAATGGTTGATGTTTCTGTAAGTAAATGAATGATCCTCCTGGACATGAAAGAAAGGAGTCCCTTTCATTCCCTTGCTGTGATTCCCTTTGTGTCTCTAGCTTTGGGTTTGAGAAAATGGCTTTTTGTCATACATCCATTTGCTTATATAAAAGTGACAGTGGTATCACGGAGCAACTTATGCCACATGTCTGGGTCCTGCCCCTCTAAGGTAGACAATGACACAAGTTGTTAACATAGGGAAACTAGGAAGGGGAGAGGTTTGAGGAAAAAAATCAAAAGTTCCATTTGGATATTTTAAATTTGAGATCTCTATTAGACATAGAACAGGAGATATCAAATAGATACTTAAGTCACTCCAGAATTAAGGGGAGAAGTCAACTACATAGAGATTGTATTTAAATTTATGTGACTGGGTAATATTACCTGGGGATTAACTCCAGAGGGAGAAGAGAAGACCAGGCCAAATACCTGGGAATCATCATTACTCGGAGGCTGGACAGAGAAGGAGAAGCCAGGAAGGAAGAAACAGCAGTGTCTCAGTATGCTGTTGCATAAGTTAGAGAAAACCCCAAATAACATTTCCTGAATAACAAAGGTATTGATTTTTCTCACAAACCATGAAGGCCCAAGATTAGAATGGAACAGGTTAGGTTAACTCATCATCTCAGTGTTGTCATCAAGGCCTTGTAATCTTCCCACTTTTCCACTCTGACATGCTAACCCTCCTCCATGTCCCAGATGGCTACCACTTTTGTTTCCCCAAGGTCTCTTTAAAAGAGGGAAGAAAACTTTTCCCAGAAGATGCTCAATAAAATTCTTGTCTTGTGTCATTGGCCAACAGTATATCACTTACGTATGCCCAAATCAATCACTGCCACAAGACTGGGACCAACATGATTGCCTTAGACCAGCCCAATGATACCCCCTTACCCAGGGATTAAACCATCTGGCCTGAAAGCACATAGAGGAGAGATTTGCAAACAAAATGAGAGTTATGTTGACATGAAAGAAGAGGAGAAGGAATGGTTGTTGGATAGGCAACCAAGAATATCTGCTGTTAAGTGTCCCTTGAGGTAGACTGAACACCAATGATATGGTGTCAGGTAGGAAAAGAATATGTTTAAAGAAGGAGAAAGTGATGAACTGTGTCAGATGACACTGATAGGCTGAGTAAGATGATAGAGAAAAGATCTCTTAATTTATAAAATTATGAGAAATAAGTGACATTGTTATTGAGGCTTCAATGAAAGAGTTGAGGCAGAAGCTCAATATTTTAAGAAGTTTAGGTCAAAAGGTGTACAGAAAGGCGGAAGCTGAAAAAACTGAATGGGAGCAAGGGGAGTTCTATTTTAAAGATGTGCAACATGAAAACATGATTATGGGCCAAAGAGAATGATCCAGTAAAGAGGAGGAAACTGGTGATGAATGAAACAAAGAAATAATTGCTCAAGCAATATATTTGAGTATAGAAAAAAGTTCCTCAACAGTGGCATAATTGACATTTTGGACCAGATAATTCTTTGTTGTGAGGGGTTGCCCTGTGCATTGTAGGGTATTTAACACATCCCTGTCCTCAACCCACTAACTACCAGTAGCACCACAACCACGCTAGCCAAAAATGCCTCTAGACAGTTCCAAATACCCTATGGGGAACAAAATCATTCCCATTTGAGAATCACTGGGGTAGATGAAAAGGGATCCTAAGTATAAGTGGAAGGGCTGATCTTTCAAAAGAGCAGAGACAGTCCACGCATTGCACTTTTTCCTCTTAAGGAGGGAAGGCAGTGAGTGGACACCAGTAAGAGTAGATTTTCTGGTTTGGAGGTCATTACTGGCGGTGGTGGATAGGTAGAGCAAAATGTTTTCAGGTTTGTTAAGAGAAAAGAAAGTATCAAATAGTCATTTTGGAGAGTAAGAAAACAAAAAAATTAGAGAAGTAGAATTTGAGAATTGTGGCCATAAATTTAAAAACCAGGCACTACTTTTAATTGTTTGGTGTTATTTTCCCCAATCACTATCAGATTCTTGAACATAGGTATGGATACATAACGATTGTGTTTAACCAGAATTAGGGTTTGCTGGCTGATTATAGTAGAGATGAACAGAGCAAGAGAATTTAGATAAAAGGGATTATAGTGCCAAAATATGGAGTCTATGGTGGATAATGAGAAAACTGAGGATAGGTGAGGGTGATGAGAGAGAGTGAAGAAGTGTAGGGTGAGGGGGCTGGAGATCTGAATGATTCTGACACATCACTGAAATGGAAACACCAGAAAAGGACTAGGAAGAATAGGAGGCAGCAGTCAGATAAAAATATGCTTGAAGTCACAATTTAAGTTAGGACAATGACTGGTGATTTCATTATTCATTCATTCCAACTACTAACTGCCAGGCACTATTGTAAGCACTGCGAATACAGGAGTGAATGAACCTCTGCCTCTCTCATGGGTTTTACATTCTGGTCAGAAAGATAGAAAGTGAATAAACAAATAAATGTATATTACATCAGTGGGCAAAAAGTGCTATAAATAAAAGCAAGCTTATAACAAGTGGGTTATAGTAGAGGGTGGCTGAGATCGGTGGAGGAGGTCACTGGAGTTGAAGAAGTCAACGCTAAGAGGCCAGCAGGGGAAGGACCAGGGGAAGGTGAGCGCCGAGCCTGAGGTGTAAATATAAAGGAGGCCAATCCTGCACTTGCTGGGTACTGAGAGTAGGTGCCTCATTCAAGTGTGTGCCCGGGTGCCTTGTTTGCCTCACCCTTGTTGGCCCTGCTAGAGGACCATTCACATGAACTTGAAATAATCTCATGAGTGACAGGAGTCGAGGAAGAAATGAAGGTAATGAGCCAAGAGCTGACATTATCAATGAATGGAGGTGATTGATGCAGGGAGGGATGGGAGAGAGGGAGAGAGAATCACTCTGTAGAGAACGGTGATTTGGTCTGAAATTCCTTTGGACTTCAAAAGTACTAGGCACTTTGAGGGAGAAAGTGGATAAAATAGGTTGGAAGTGTCAAAGGGAAGCAGCGAGGGCACTAGGAGTTAAGAAGGTAAGGAATCGCCCATAGCTGAATTGGTAATAGAGGTAATTAAATAACATAAATATTAAAGAGCATATATATTATATACGACATATAATGTATGTTCTATTATAATATACACTCTTATGTAGATTAAATACACATATATACACTCTTTTATTTTTTAATTTGCTGTATTACTTATATAATCAGCAAAAAAGACAAGGTGAAAAATAAAATTCTAACATTATAAAATAAGAATTCAAATGGCTATCAAACATTAAAGTATGTAAAATACCACATTTGCTAAAAGCTGGATGAATGTAGTAGCAATGTAATGAGATAAAATGAAGTAATGAAAAAAGCAGTTACCCTTCAGCATTCAAAGTCTTTCTATTTCCTACTTTGGCTTTTTTGTTCTTCAGTCCTCTTGGAACCAAGTAGTGTGGGAGGTGAGTAGAGAATAGATGAGGAGATGGTCTTGCACTAAAGTCTATGTTTTGAAAATTGTACTCAAGAAAGGGCACACGATCAACTGTTTCCAGATTTTCAGTTCTTTTGCCATGTTCTTCAAAATAAATCAAGCTCAACAACTGCTGAGACCAGATGGTTCCTGTAAAAGAAAAAAATTTGTTTTCAATAATACAGAAATTTCTCACACATGTAGATGGATATGCCATCAGTTTTTAAATCATGTAAAGTTTGTTATTGTGCTAAGTATAATGATAATTTCATCTGGATGGATTTTTTTTTAATTTAAAGTGCAATATTGGTAAAAAACAATGAATATTGCTTTCATTTTTCCTTTTAAGGATAAGGTCCATTTGAAACACCATGGGCATTTGTCACTCAAGTTTATTCTTGCCTCCTTCTCTGTGCTTTCTTCTGCTTCATATATGGTAACTTTAAATTATCCTCTATGCCTACTTCTACATTTTCTTCCTCAGCCCCACTCCTAGAGCATTAGCTAGTATAAGCACAGAAAAACAGAACTCCATTGAGGAAGTAACTTTTAATCTTTCCCACTTTCTCCATGTTTTCTCTCTTTGACTATGATCTCTACTTAAGGAAATGGTGTTGATTACAAATACCTATATGTGACACCTACATACAGACAGAAATGGGAAGATGACATCTAAAGTGGGACCTTTGACTTTTAGTGGGATGTGAGAAATTCTTATGATGACTATTTCAGTTAATTTTAATTAGAGTGGACATATGTGACCAAATGTGTAGCTGAAATTGCCTGCTTTAGTTTCCTTACACTTCTTTTCCTTACTTTTTATATGGGACTCTTAAGACATAAACATACTCACTACAAAGGTTGTGCTTCTAACATTTCCATTCCAATGCTTTAAAAATACTTAACTCACCAAAACATCAGAAATCCCAGTGGGGATACTAATCAGAATTCTGAAACGAGAAATCTTACTAGCCCGTCACCAATTCTGATCCTAGGCTTCCTTCCCAAAGACCATCCAATCACCCATGCTGAGCAGCTGCACATGGTGAGCAAGATCATTGTTGGGCATACATTCCTTGCTGGCAGGTGCAGGTGGTGTGTGCCTTATCCAGTCCTCTCAGTGCCTTAATATTGGTGGTTATAGTTTCCAGTGTTGCCCAAGGAAGACTATGACGACATGTGCCTACATAGTATCATAGCTGGAGCGAAAACTCAGTGAAAACTCATTGTTATGAAGCTCTAAAGGGGTTTCTTACATCCTTCCTTCCCCAGATAACAGATACTACTTCTGCAGGAGGAATCACAGTTTCATGGGCGCTGAGGGGTTACCAGTCATGCCCTGAGGGGGCCACAGGTCTGCAGAGATTCGAGAATAGGAGGACTGGAAGAATGTGTCCCCCAGGCAAAATGGGCTGCATCTTCTTCTCCCCTTCACCCTCCTCCTTCCTCTTCTGTTTCTCTTCCTCCTTTCCCTCCCCCATCCCCTCTTGCCCTTCTCTTTCTTTTCTTTCTTTTTTTTTTTTTTTTTTTTTTTTTTTAATTTTTTTTTTTTTTTTTTTTTTTTTTTGCCCTTTGTGGATGTCAGGTGTTAGTGGAAAGTGGTATTAATTATTCTCTTCAGTTCATGCCATATTAACATCACTGATTTATTCCAGACCCTCCTTTATCTGTTTATCCCTTTTATTTTCATTTCCTACCTCCTTTCTTACCCCTGCGGCACCATAGGCAACCAGTCTTTGGGATTTAAAGTGCATCCATTTGTTTGAATGTATTCTTTTGAAATATATATTATTGTTTCCTTGTATTTTCAATCGATGTCAATGTGCATCATTTCTTAATTTTTTCACTATGCACTATGGTTTTAAGTTCCATTTATGTGTACCTCTGATCCATTGCTCCTTATATCTGCTGCCTATTATTCATGGTGTGCATCCCTGGATTGACTTACCCACTTTCTCACTGATGGACACCCCTCCACAAACCACACTGCAATGAACATCCTCACTCATGTTTCCTATGGACCTGTATGGGATTTTGTTTAGGATAAATATTCAAAAGAGGAATTGCTTGGTATGTCTGTACCTTATTTGACCCAGTAGTGCCAGATTGCTCTCCAGAGAATGGCTGCTTCAATCTAGTCTCCCATTGGCAATATGCTAATGAATACAGATCTTGCTCCACTCCTCGCCAGCATTCAGCATTACTTACCTTTCTAATTTTTGTCAGTCTCATAGATGTAAAGTAATATCTTATTGTTTACCAAGTTTGCATTTCTTTCTTTATATGGTAGAGGGTGATTTTCTTCTGCAAATTCTCAGTTTCTTTGGCTATTTTTATACTCAGATTGCTTGATTTGTAGTCCTTATACATTCTAGATATTAATCTTTTTATTTTAGACATTGTAAACATTTTCTCTCATTCTGTCACCTACTAAATTTTCCCATGGAATTTTTTGTTAAGCAAAATCCCAAATCCTTAATTTTGATGTAATTGAAATTATCAAATGTTTTACCTAAATTTTCAACTTCGAACATTTGTTTAAGAAGCTCTTCCCCACTCCTAGGTCGCAATGATTTTTCTCCTGCATTTTTTCTAATAGCTAGTTTTAACTTTGATATTAATGTCTTCAGTACAAGTAGAGTTTATTCTTGTATGCAGTGCTAGGGATCCAGTTGTGTTTTCTCCATATAGTGTGCCAGTTTTCCCAAAACTAAAGAACCCAACCTTTCCCCACTAATAGGTGAACCGTGCTTAAATTTATATTGCATTCTCTTATACATACAGGCTTTTTTCCCAGGTCGTTCTTGTTCCTGTGGCTTATTTGTTCTTGTGTGACTACTATACTGTTTTTCCTAACGATGGCCTTATAAACAAATTAAACAGGTAAATATGTGGTATATTATAAGGTGATAAATGTTGTATTCATATAAGAAAATAAAGCAGCAAAAAGATTGCAAGTTTTTTGAGTGGGGCTGCATTTTTAAATATGACCAACCAGAATGGCTTCACTGAGAATGTAATATTTCAATAGGGACCCAAAAGAGGGGAGAAAGTAATCTATGCAGAAATCTGAGGGAATCCAAATTGGAAATGATGATGTAAAACTGTCTCTTTGACAAATGACATGATTTATATATAGAAAACCCTAAAGGCTCTACCGAAAAACTGTTAGAACTAATAAATGAATTCAGTAAAGTTGCAGAATACAAAATCAACATACAAAAATAAGTTGCATTTCTATATACTAACAATCAACTATCAAAAAGAGAAATTAGGAAAAAAATCCCATTTATGAAAGCAATCAAAAAGAATAAATTTAACTAAGGAGGTGAAAAACCTGTACATTGAAAACTATAAGACAGTGATATAAGAAATTGAAGAAGACACAAATAAAATGAAAGACATTCCATGTTCATGGATTGGAAGATTTCATACTGTTAAAATACTACACAAAGCAATCCACAGAGTCAATGCAATCATTATCAAAATTCCAATGGTATTTTTCACAGAAATAGAACAATCTTAAATTTTGTATGGAACCATAAAGGACCTGAATAGCCAAAAATATCTTGAGAAAGAACAAAGCTGGAGGTATTGTACTTCTTGGTTTAAAATTATAACACAAAGTTATAGGAACCAAAACAGTGTGATATTGGCATAAAAACAGACACATAGATCAATGGAACAGAATAGAGAGCTGAGAAATAAACTCATGCATACACGTTCAATTAATTTACAAAAGAGGAGCTGAGAAATACAATGAAGAAAGGATAGTCTCTTTGATAAATGGTGTTGTAAAACTGGAAATCCACTTGCAAAAGAATAAAACTGGACCACTATCTTACACTATACACAAAAATCAACTCAAAATGGATTAAAGACGTGAATGTAAGACCTGAAACCATAAAACTTATAGAAGAAAATATAGGCAGTGAGTTCCTTGGCATTGGTTTTTGAAAATGATATTTTTCTATATGACACCAAAAGAAAGGGTAACAAAAGCAAAAATAAACAACTGGGACTAAATGAAACTAAAAAGCTTCTATACAGTAAAGGAAATTATCAACAAAATGAAAAGGCAACCTACAGAATGGGAGAAAATATTTGGAAGTCATATATCAGAAAAGGGGTTAATATATAAATATGTAAAGAACTTATACAACTCAGTAGCATGGAAACAAACAATACAATTAAAAATGGGCAGAGATGTGAATAGATATTCTTTCAAGGAAGATATACAAATGGCCAATGGGTACATGGAAAGGTGCTTGGCATCACTAATCACCAGGAAGATGCAAATCAAAACCACTATAACATTTCATCCCACATTTGTTAGAATGGCTGTCATCAAAAAGACAAGAGATAACAAGTGTTGACAAGGGTGTGGAGAAAAGGCAACCCTTGTGCACTGTTGGTGGCAATGTAAATTGATACAGCCACTATGAAAAAGACTATGAGGGTTCCTCAAAACATTAAAAATAGAACTACCATATGATCCAGAAATTACACTTCCAGGGTACATATCTGAAGGAAACAAAAACACTGACTCAAAAAGATATATGCACCTCTATGTCCACTGCAGCATTATTTACAATAGCCAAGACAGGAAAACACCCGAAACATCCATTGATGGGTGAATGGATAAAAAAATGTAGTATATATATTACACCATGGAATATAATTCAGCCATAAAAAAGAATGAAATCCTGCCAATTACGACAACATGGATGGAACTCAACGGCATTGTGCTAAGTGAAATAAGTCAAACAGAGAAAGACAAATACTGTATGATCTCACTTTTATGTGGAATCTAAGAAAAAATAAAACTCCTAGAAAAAAAGAACAGATTGGTGATTGCCAAAGACAGAGGGTGGAGATGGGGGAAATGGGTGAGGATAGTCAAAAGGTACAAACTTCCAGTTATAAGATTAATAAGTCATGAGGATGTGATGTAGAGCACGGTGACTATAGTTAACAACACTCTGTTGTATACTTGAAAGTTGCTAAGAGAGTAAATCTTAAATGTTCTCGGGAAAAAAATAATTGGTAACTACGTGCAGTGATGGATGTTAACTAAACTTGTGGTAATATTCTGCAATATATATATATATATCAAACCATTATGTTGTACACTTTAAACAAATGCACTGCCCTATGTCAATTATATCTCAATAAAACTGGGAAAATTTTTTTTTTAAAAAACCTTACTGATATATATAACATAAATATGAAGTTTAAAATCTGTCAGATCCATATCCTTGTCCATTCCCCATACAGAAATACTGCTAAAGGTATGTAAGTATACTTGAAAAATTTTTTTATACCAAAGGGGTTCTAAACATGAGACCCCAAATATGCCACTTTGGCATATTGATTATTTTGAGCTGAAGGCACTTGAGAAATAGCGGGTACAGGAAGGACTCGGTGACCTCTCCCTTTTACCTAAAAGCAGGTCATAAAATGTCCCATGAGAAAAGTACCAGTACCTGTACCAGGAAGAAAAGAACATTCTTATCAGCAGAGAATGAGAGTCAACCCCAAAGTAGATCTATACAACAAACCTACTAAAATAACACTTATCTTCCACTAGTTTCCCCATTTATTTCCTACTCACTGTCCCACGATTTACTCTCCCTTAGGCAAGCCCTTTTGTCTGGTCACATGCCCACATTTTTATCCTTCATTGTGTAAAAAGTATGTAAGCTTTTAGGTCTAACAGCTTCTCTGGGTCTTCATTTTCCTTCCGAAGACTTCCATGTACAAGTAAAAATGTTAAATAAATGTATATGCTTTTCTTCTGTTAATCCGTCTTACATCAGTTTCTTAGGCCATCCACAGAACCTGAGAGGGTAAAAGGAAGTTCTTCCTCCCTTACAATAAACACTAATATGCCGTCCATTCATATATCATTTTTCTACACTCAAACACATTATATAGTTTGTGTTACTTTTCTTTCTCTGTTTCTGTCTCTGTCTTCCTCTCTTCTCTCTTCCTTAAAAACATATGGCATTATACAATAGCTATTTTCCTACAATTTGCTTTTTAAACTTAACCAATTCATTATGAGTATTTTTCCGTGACAGTATGTGTCCATATATATATGTACAGGCATATATATATGTACATACTCACATATATATGCCTTAGTCCACTCAGGGGGCTATAAGAAAATACCACAGCCTTGGAAGCTTATAAACAACAGAAATCTATTTCACAGTACTGGAGGCTGGAAGCCCAAGAGCTCGGTGTCAGAAGATTCAGTGTGTGGTGAGAGCTGCCCTCCTGGTTCATAGCCAGGGCCTCCCCGCTGTGTCCTCACATGGTATGAGGAGCTAGAGATCTCTCTGGAGCCTCTTTTATAAGAGCACTAATCCCTTTTCTGAAGGTTCTATTCTCATGAGCTAATCACCTCCCAAAGGCCCTACCTCCTAATATCATCACCTTTGGGGGTTAGGATTTCAACATATGAATTTTGGGGAGACATAAACATTCAGACCATAGCAATATATATCAATGTATATATAACATATATTGTATCCTCTCTTGTCTCTATGAATCAAATAATATAGTAACTGGAACCCACTCTCAAGGCTTCACTCTGCATCTCTTGATAGCCATTAAGGTAACTTAATGTTTTAGAGGGACCTTCCTGGATACCCCAGGCCAACTGCACATCCCACACCCCTCATAGATCCACAAGAGACTAACCTGAATGTAAAGATGTTCCCCGTGTCACGTTGACTGCCCAGCTACACCAGGACACTCTCAACATTCAAGTAATTGGGAGACACACTTACATTCAAATGGAATTGAAAGGTTTTCCTCAAAAAAAAATCCCTACTACTGACCCATCAAGTGCTGGCTTGGCTTTAATCTAGGAAGGTTACAGGAGGAGCACACAGGACTCTTAGGGCTCCCTTAGAGCTGCAGTGCTCACTGCGGGGTCCAGCAGACTCAGCGGGAATAAAAAAATATTGTTAAAGTACTCAGACCCTTCATTCTCCTGTGAACCCCTGTAATTTACAATTGTACCCTGTTCTTTTTTTGAGAAGCTAAGAAAACTTTCAAGGAGCAAGACTATTTTCTATTAAGAATTTATGTTTTACGTATATTCAAAGACTAAAATATCTCTGATCTTACAAATGCTGATTGGTTTCTATGGTTTTGATACAGTATTATTTAAAAGCTGAAAGAGTCACTGTTTGATCATCCAATCTGAGGCAATAAGGAAACCGTAGCATTGGAAATGGGCTTAGTGTGGGGAGCTATCAAACAGAATGGATGAATGGGGAGTGAGAAGGGGCAAAAGAGTCCTCAGAATACAGTACATGAAATAAAACTGAGCTGCCTGAGAGGAACAAACAGAATAGAAAATGAAATAAAAATTGGGCCTTAGTCATATGGGGTCATCAGCAGGAAAAGGGCAGGCACAGGTAGGGGATGAAGGTACCAGGCCCTGAGGCAGAACCTTGGGAGAGAAGTGAGAAAAGGCGCAGCCCTTTAAGGTCTTCCCCATGCACTGCTTAGAATTTTACTTTAATGGGACCAGACATTCTATGACCCAGAGACTAATTAAAAATATTTGGGGATTATTACTCATTCTGGAGAATAGTATAAGTTAAATTTCCTCCTTCTCATGCCCTTAGTTATTAAATAAAGCTTGAAGGATGTGTCCAAATACCTGCCTAATGGTAACTCTTCCTGCCTCCTTTCCCAGCCCACTTCAGCAATCAATGTTTGATAGGTTGTCTTCAATTTAATGCTTCAATACTTTGTCCCTTTCGCTTGCCAAAATCAGATATAATGTTCCGCTACATTGTAAAAGACCTTATTTCACAGGGTATTAAATTCAGTTAACTTTATCATACTCAATAGATTAAGAGTATATGCCCATATATAATGCTAGCAAAAAGACTAAGTTCTCATGTTATAAAACTATTATTTATTTATTAGATTAGCTGTTGAGTACAAAACTTACCAGATTTGGGGTATGTGATTATGAAGACATCATCATCATCTCTGATTTCAAAATCATCTAAATTTTCTAAAAAGTCAACATCAAGTCCAACACGTTTAAAATAATATCCTTTAAATTTCAATAAACGTCTTCCTGTGTCTTCCATAATTTAGTTGCCTGCAAAAGACAGACAAAATTATTTGAAAGAAATTTAGAAGAATTTTATATCGTCTTCCCTTCCATTTATTTGCTTGCTGGCCATGTATTGAGAAAAGAAATCGATTTCCTGTTTCTCCACAAATACTGATAACCTGTTGGCTCTGAAGCTACTCTCCCAGATTCTGGACGTGTGGAGTTTGCTCCAGTGTCCAGGAGCCTGCTGTTCATGGGCTGGGTCTTGCTTTTATGTGTGTGTGCTCCATTCAGGTAGGTACAGGGAAATACTTAAAAAGGAATTATTGTAATAATTTCAATAATGATTCTTTTAATCAGAAATCTGATTATGAATATACAAATTCGACTTAAATAGGCTTCAGAAACACTTGTCCATTAGACTAGGCAGATAGTCCTTCATCAGCCGGCCTTTTCTCTCCTGTAACTGAACTGTAATGACTTCGATTTTACCAGATTTATAGAAGATTTTCTTTGTAAACTTTCTGGGTGATCGTCATCAGTTTTAAATATCTTTTGATAAGTTTTTATTTACATTTGACTTTATTTCTTGACTTGCAATTTGTTTAGATCAATTGCCAGAGTACAACTGTGAAGTAATAAACATGAATGTACCCAGGACGCCTAAGAAATTGCAGGTGAGCAATTAAATTGTACATAACGACAAAGTAAACAAAGGCAAAAAGTGAAAGCATGAAAGAAAACATTCAAATAATAGGTTACACACAGAGAGTGCAAGCCAAGCCTTGTGAGTCATCATTTCTATATACATTTTATCTTTCATTATTATCTGTCACTAGCCATATGGAAAAATTTATTTTGATACAAAGAACTCTGAGGTTTTAGTTGATTTGGGGATTTTGTCAGAGGAATCTCAAGTTTCTTTTTTTTCTTTTTCCCAGTTAGTTGGTCATAGGAATAGCTGAAACAAAAGAACAAAAGAATTTCACAATTTGAAAACAATTCCAGGGAGACTGGGCCAACTGTCATTATAAGAAAAGGGAAAACAAAGAATTTTTTTAATGTATTTTGACAGTCACACTGTAACTGGAAAACTTAGGTTTGATAGCCTCTCTTATAAAATGAGATTTCTGAAAGGCAAAAATCAGTTGGAACCATCAACATGAATTCACAGCCAGGGAGGAGAGTAGGGGGCCACAAAGGGGAGGGTGGATGAAGAGAGAGAGGGGGGATTTTTCTGTCACTAGAGTTATTTAAGGAGTCTCTTCATTGCTGTCCTCTGCTGATCAAGTGGAACAACCTAATTGCAGTTTGATCCCCAGATTTGGGCTCTAATATTAACTTCCATTAGAAAGAAGCAGTGCTACCTGAAGAGGAGCCGATTCCATGTCTTGGGATCAAAAGAATAAAGATGAGCCTGTAACATATTGATCTTTTCATAAAGTAAACATAATTTTAGTACTATTGTGGGTAGTGCCAAAGGAACAAAGAGAACAAAACAAGGACTGACCCCCAGTGAACAATGATTACAATCAGCTAGAACGAGTAAAGATGATTTGAAGCAGCATGAGTGCATGATGATGCTGTTAAAAGGTAAGTACATAAACTTGATGTGATGTGCAACAATTTCTAAAACCCCTAACAGAAATTATGTGACTACCACATGAAAACCTAATCCACAACCAGGTAATCAATTATGGGTTGTTAGTAAACGTAGGAGGACATGCTTAAAATGCAATTTAAAATATGTATGCATAGCTTATTAGTTTAGATGGAGGAATAATGAGAATTACTAATAAGAAAAATATGGAAAATTCAGAATGGCTTCTAACAGTGAGATAAAAAGTTATGAAAGACATGTAAAAGATACAGGAGTGTTGAGGAGTGAATGCTTTTCCCTTGCTATCTTTTCACCGTTACTATACTATAGTAACAGTGCCTATATTTTTCGTAGCTGTGCTGAAATATTATAAGAGATGCACCTGGGACAGAGATTGGTCATAGTCTGAATGTCACGTGTCCCATAGACCAAATGGCTTATATGCTCCTAAGTATAGAGAAATGTATAGAGTGGATTTTGAGGGAATGCACATGCCCCACATCTGAGCTTCTACCTGATTGTAAATTAGATTGGAAGGAACACTGGGCATGTGACATGTGTGAAATTGCACAGTATGGAATATTGAGGCCTATTACACAACAGGGGAGAATTATAATTAGACGGTGATGATTCACAGTCTGTTCAAATAGCCCACTAAGGCTATTTTTAAATGTTTGTCAGTATGTAATTCTTGATATTCAAGAGCACCATGAAATGTGGTGAAAATGAGGGAATTTCCTTTACCACCGGGTAGTCAAGAAGAAAGAATATTCATATCTAAAGGAAGTGGCAGAGCAATTAAAATTAGCTTGGAAAGTGGCAGGGAGAATGTGAATACATGTTAAAATGTGGCACAAAAAATGGATCAAAAATATTTACTGTAACAAAATATATTGCTTCTGAGCATGACAATTGAGGCCAGTTAAGAGGGAGATCTGATGAAGAAGAGATGGGGCTCCTAGGAGCTTGTGTAAAGTTGTATGGACATTATAATCATAGGAAACCATTAGAATGGTGATGAATCACAGCCTGTCTAAATGGTCCATTAAAGCTGTTTTTAAACGTCTGTCAGTATGTAATTGTTGATGTTCAAGAGTATCATGAAGTGCAGTGAAAACAAGGGAATTGCCTTTAGCACCAGATAGCCAAGGAGCCAGAACATTCATATCTAAATGAAGTGGCACAGAAATTTTAATACTTTGGGAAGTGGCAGAGAGAATGTGAATACACGTTAAAAAGTGAAACAAATATTGATCAAAAATATATATGGTAGCCAAAAGATATTGCCTCTGAGTGCAATGTTGAGCCCAGTTAAGAGGGAGTTCCGATGAAGAAGAGATTGGGCTACTGGGAGCTTGTGTAGAGTTGGGTGGACATTATAATAATAGGAAAGATTATTTTTCTTCTAATATTTTACTGAACTAATAGAGAAAAAACAAATAAAATAGGAAGACAAATAGGGACATGTCATGAATGGACTCTTTTTCCCAGGGAGATAAAATGTTTAGAAAGATATGGAAAAGTTTAGTGTGATCACAAGGGGGAAGAGAATAAAAAACAAACCAACTAGACCTAAAATCTGATTTTACTATTATACATAATATGAATTCTGCTGTCTTACATTCTACTTTTACTAGAACCTAGTACAAATACTGCTGTCGTGGTGAGTTATATCTTTGTTTTTGAATAATATGTTCAAATATTTTGGAACTATATTCTGGCTCAGTTTACTGAAATTCAAAGCAAAACACTTAACAGAATGTTATTCCCTCATACATAAGATATCTTACATGTATTTAGCTTAGTGTTTATAAAAATAAAACTGCATAACTAGTACAGTACAGACAAGTGAGGTTGAGCACAATAGATCACCCCAAAACAAGCCACTTTGGCATGTAAATTGTTTTGAGCTGAGGGACTACATCAAACTAAAAAGCATCTGCACAGCAAAGGAAACCATCATCAGAACAAAAAGACAACCTAACAATTAGGAGAAGATATTTGCAAACCATATATCTGATAAAGGGTTAATATCCAAAATATGTAAAGAACTTATATATCTCAACAAAAAAAACTAACAATCCAATTAAAAAATGGGCAAAAGACCTGAACAGACATTTCTCCAAAGATATAAAGATGGCCAACAGGCACATGGAAAGATGTTCAACACCACTAACTCTCAGGGAATTGCAAATGAAAACTACAATGAGAAATCACCTCACGCCTGTCAGAATGGCTATAATTAACAAGACAGGCAATAACAAGTGTTGGAGAGGATATGGAGAAAAGGGAACTCTCATACACTGCTGGTGGGAGTGCAAACTGGTGCAGCCTCTATGGAAAACAATACGGAGATTCCTCAAAAAATTAAGAATAGAACTACCATATGATCCATCTATTCCACTGCTAGGTCTTTATCCAAAGATCATGAAAACACCAACGCATAAAGATACACGCACCTTTATGTTCATTGCAGCATTACTGACAATAGTGAAGACCTGGAAGCAAGCCAGGTGTTCAACAAGGGATGAATGGATAAAGAAGTTGTGGTATATATACACAGTGGAATACTACTCAGCCTTAAAAAACAATGAAACCTTTCCACTTGTGACAACATGGATGGACCTTGAGGGTATTATGCTAAGCAAAATAAGTCAGAGGAAGAAAGTCAAATACTCACTCATAAGTAGAAGATAAAAACACAACAAACCATCACATAGACACAGAGATTGGATTGGTGGTTACCAGAGGGGAAGGGGGAAGGGAGGAGGGTGAAAGGGGTAATAAAGCACACCTGTATGGTGATGGATTGTAATTAGTCTTTGGGTGGCAAATATGATGTAACCTACACAGAAATCGAAACATAATGATGTACACTTGAAATTTATATAATTTTATAAACCAATGTTACCACAATAAAAAAAAATTTAAAAATACCCAGCAAACTCAGGAAAAGCTTTTTATCTCTCCCTTAACTACCTGGAAGAATTCCAATAGGGGGCGTGTACTAGGAAGAGAGCTATTATCAGAGATAACTTTTTATATCAGAAGACTTATCAGTATTGCAGGGCAAACATCTGTTTACCAAACATTTGCTTTTCTCATCTTCCTGTGAATTGTCTTGCTCCCTTTTATAGCCCCAGACTCCTACCCCCTTCTCTTTAGCCCATGGTGGTATAGAAGCCTCAATACCAGACTGTGTTTGAGTCTCCATGTCTTTCTGGGACTCCTGTTCACACCTCATTAAATTTATTTTTCTCCTGTTAATCTGTCTTATGTCAACTTAATTATCAGACCAGACAAGGAACCTAGATGAGAAGAAGGGAAAAGTTTTCTGCCCCCACAGAAGAATGAAACTACTCACCTTAAGGGTTAGCTGAAGTGAAGTGTTAACTTCTCATATAAACACAAGTGAGAAGAATAATTTTGTTGAT